TAATGACGTTTTCTTATTTGTAAGTCGCTTTGGATAAAAGCGTCTGCTAATTGACTAAAAGTAAAGTAAAGTAAAAGTAATTTTTTTAAATTGACAACAAGTTGTTGTTAACCTGTAATTACACACGTAACCCGACTGATGATGTACTGTAATACTCTATATTCACAATAATGAGTTTAAATAAATTAATTAAATGGATATAATAATGGATTTCACTTACTCACTCAACTTACAATTATATTTATCCAAATTTCACTATTATTCAAGTCTAAAACACTTTTTCCATGTTGGAGAGTGTGTTGTTTCAACATATCACAGTTATCAACTAGGTTAGGAGACCTCTGGCTTTTTAAAAATCATTTAGGAGCTGAGACCTAGTCCTAGCACTAGTGTATTTTTATGAATCACGCTTATTCTTAAGTGTAGAAATAAGAGCAATATGACATCATTCTTAGAATTTTGACTCCATTAAGACTAAAATTTTACTCTGAATGGCTTTCGGCCCCTGCTTTTTATCACACTGGAAATAAAAAGTCAAGTTGACATCAATGCATTCTGTGCTTTAGTTTGTATACTGCACATTTCTGCAACTTCAGGTATGTCATGCATGGAGAAAATTTGCAACAAAATATTGAATTCTTGAACTGAATTCTGCAGAAAGAGCAGTACAGTAGTACAGAACATGGTGGTAGTAATAATGTAAGTGTGCTCAGTTTTATATTACATGTGCAGATCCTATACTTAGGTTGCTACCGATGCAATACAGACCATTTTTGTTGGGTCAGGTATTAGTCAGACCGGACCAATCCAAATCTGATACTGTGGGTTGTTACTTTCGAGATCAAAAAAGAAAAAAAAAATATTAAAGCACCACAGAAGGTTTAGTGCGTTATATTCCAATTCTTCTCAAGCTATTAAATTGTTCAATATGAGGAACTGACAGTATATTAAATCAATGACCATCTTCACTACTTGTCAGTTTATGTTTAAAGTCTGTGATGAGTTTGTTTTTTTGTTTGTTTTTTTCCTTCCTTCCAATCAGTTTGGATGGTGTACATTTCAATAAATCAGTCATACATTTAGTTCTATGGGAGCCAACCACTAATAAGCCCAAAATATGCAACTGTATTCTGGAAATAAGCCCAAGAATAAAATAATAAAACACACAATTACCCCAAAGTTGCGTATAACAAAGCAAACTTGGCAACATGAATGTGCATAAGTGCCTTTGTGCCTCTCTGTATAGGTTTTAAAGGCTTTTGCCTTTCATGCTATGATAGTTTTGTGCAATGAAAGACAAATTGTTTGTTTTTTTGTTTTGTTTTTTGATGTTCAATGACAGATTGTATCACCACATTTCAATAAATCAGTCATACATTTAGTTCTATGGGAGCCAACCACTAATAAGCCCAAAATATGCAACTGTATTCTGGAAATAAGCCCAAGAATAAAATAATAAAACACACAATTACCCCAAAGTTGCGTATAACAAAGCAAACTTGGCAACATGAATGTGCATAAGTGCCTTTGTGCCTCTCTGTATAGGTTTTAAAGGCTTTTGCCTTTCATGCTATGATAGTTTTGTGCAATGAAAGACAATAAATGTTTAGTATTTATTTATTGAATCTATCACGTCTGTTGTCCTATTAAAATCTTTTTCCATTTAGTTTGTTGAAGTATTAAAATAACTAAAATTAAATAAAATTAAAACTTAATAAAAGACCTATAAAGACATAATAAATTAAATTATATATATAATTTATATAAATTAAAATAAATAACAAATACAAATAATACAAATCAAACGACAG